AACAAAAAACAATCCAGTATCCTAGTTACTTTCCCAAGTAGCTGAGATCTAAGAATCAAGGCTCAAAGCCAGCCCAGGCAGGAAAGTCCTTGTGACTCTTATCTCCAATGAGCAACCAAAAAGCCAGAAGTGGAGCTGTGGCTCAAGTAATAGAGCACTAGCCTTGAGAAAACAAAAACAAAAGCTGCACAGGACTGGAGTTCAAGCCTCAGGAGCAGCACACATACAAAAACAAACCAAAAACCAACCCAAAGCATCTTTCTGTGAGGTAGGAGAGTCTGGTAGCAGAGCATATAACGCTGGATATGGAATAAACAGGTAGAGCTTTGCAGTTCCTGGGCCTGGGGTCAGTGGTACAGCGCTTGCTTGGCATGCAAGGTGCCCTGAGCCAGGCATGGGGGTCCACCTCCAGCTATTTGTAATGTGGAGGTTGGAAGGATGCCGATTAGAGGCCAAACTGGGCAAAAGTTAACAAGTTTGCATCTCAATCAATAAGCTGAGTGTCCTGGCATATAGCTGTAATCCCAACTAAGCAGGGGGTACAAGAAGTAGGATCACAAAGGTGAGCCTTTGGCAAACATTCCAGTTCAGAGCTGAGAACCAACCAAACAAACAAACAAGAGCTGGGGATGCGGCTCAATGTTGGCATCTGCTTAGCAAGTGCAAGGTACTGAGTTCAAACTCTAGTATCACAAAAATGTAATTTAAAAAAGATCCTTTAAATAAAATGCCTAAAGGACTCAATGAAATTCCTTTAAAAAGAAAACAAACTAACCATTGTTCCATGCACAAATATTCATAGAAAACCTACTGTGTGCCAGTCAGGTATACATATTTGAAACTATTCCCAATACTTTATGTTGTGAATGATTCAGAGCAAAATGTCAGCGAAGTGGAGATTTTAATAATAGCCTGCCTCATAAGCACTAAATATGATAAAAAATAGAACATGGGCAATTTAGCTTAAGGTTACATGCCTCAGAACTCAGTGACTTTCTAAACGGATTTTATAATTAGAGGATATTTTTAGCTTATTTTTCCATTGGAAGACGTTCTGATATTCATGTTGATGTATGTACTTCCACTTTAATGTTTCCAGAGTTTTAGACTGTCTTGGGTGCAGCGCAGTGTGGAGGTGACAGCCCATCTCCTGTCACATTGGGCTTTAGGGCAGAAGCTGGGGCACACAGCTGCCCCAGCACACCCACTTCACAGACACAGTTACAGATCCGGCAACCTCCCAGTCAGAAGACCAGTCCTAGCGGAGGGAACAGCCCAGAGCCTGGGAAAGTGTAGGCAGGTCAGAGCCTCTGGAGATCTGGGAAGGGCATGCCCACCCTGTCCTTGGCTCCATCCCTACCCCAACTGCCCAGTGCTCCTCTGGAGAGCAAGCCTGTGCAGGGCTGGGAGAGCTGGTGGCAGCAGGAGGGGGCGGGGCTTCCCACTTCCAAGGGCAGCCTTTAAAATTGGAGCCACAGTAGAGGAGGAGGAGGGAGCGATTGGGGTGAGGAGAGCCTTAGAACAATCCAGATACTGATGAGGAAGGGCGAGCTATGGGGGGCTTTGGGGGTCCTGGCAGCTCAGTGAGCCCTTAGCACATGGACTGACAGGAGACAGGCAAGTGGAGCAGCTTTCCCATCCTCCCTGGCCTCCCGGCAGGCCGCAGGGCTGTTGCACGTTCATTTCAAAAGTGTCATTTGGGACTGGGAAGGTGGCTTAGTGGTAGAGTGCTTGCCTTGCATGCATGAAGCCCTGGGTTCGATTCCTCAGTAACCACATACACAGAAAAAGCTAGAAGTGGCACTGTGGCTCAAGTGGTAGAGCACTAACTTTGAGCAAAAGCAGCTCAGGACAGTGCCCAGGCCCTGAGTTCAAGTCCCAGAACTGGCAAAACAAACAAACAAACAACAACAACAACAACAAAAATCCCCAGTGATGTGAGTCACACAGAGAGCCATGGTAGGCAGTGGGGTAGACTCACCAGTGGGTCGAGAAGGCAGAGCACCAGCGCCAGGCCAGAACCGTCTTTGCCCAGGCCATCAGACCTCCCAGAGGATGCCTTGATAAGTTTCTATGTACCTGAGACCTGTCATCCGTCCCTTCATTCCTCTCTGTTTCTCCATTTGGGTACAGGCGTTGCTCTCCTTTGCTGTCCTACCATTGTATTTTAGAACATAACTTGTTTGGTTTCAAAAGCTCACAACTACAGATAAATGTTGCTTCTGTTCAGAATAAACACCATATCTTGAATATCAGCCATACTGGATTGATTGTTGATGTGTTTTTCCCCTACCCAATGCTAGGGACCAAACCTGGGGCCTTGTAGATTCCAGACAAGCATTCTACCACTGAGCTGCACAGCCCAAGCTGCCATTCTTGATTGAGATGAGGTTGAAGTGAGACATAGGTGGTAGAGCTGGTTCTCTAAAGATAAGCTTGCCTTGCCATTAAGACTAGGGTTTTCCAGATGGAATGAATGTTTCCCATGTGAAGGTGTGAATATTATGGTATGAATCCTTATGTCCTCTCTTCTGCCTCCACTCGGCCCCCATCAAATTCACCCCAGCAGGCTGGGCATTAGAGACTTAGATGGCATGGGGTGGAGCCTGATCTGAGACATCGATCTTCCAGCACTGTGTCAGGATATTTTTTTGGGGGGGGGCTTGAACTCTGGGCCTGGGCGCTGCCCCTCAGATCTTCAGCTCAACCACTTGAGCCACAGGACCACTTCCAGTTTTCTGGTGGCTCATTGGAGATAAAGAGTCTCACGTGCTTTCCTGCCCAAGCTGGTTTTGAACCGTAATCCTCTGATCTCAGCCTCCTTGAGTAGCTAAGATGACAGGCATGAGCCACCGGTGCCTGGCACCCAGGATTTTTTTGGGGGGAGGGGGATGCTTCCAGAAATGGCTATGGCTAGAGATGGTGCAGGTGGAGGCAAGGAAGGCTGATTGGAGGCACCTGTGTCCAGGTGCTGAATCTCAGTCTAATCTGGGGCCTTAGAGAACCAGAGATCAGACTGAGCCCCTGGCTCCTGGGGAAAGTCGTGGGGGGGGGGGCGGCAGCTTCAAGAGCTGGATTTGGGTCACTTCAGGCACCTTTTCTCCCCAGAGTTGTGACCCTGGAAAAGAGCAGAGACCATGCCATGTGCCCCCTTCCCCGCTTTAATCTGGGAAACACGAAGCCTTCCTTCTGTTCTTTGCCTGCCCATGCGGCCTAATCCGAGACTGGCCAAGGGATCACAGCACCTGAGCCACCAGTTGGGTACCCGCGGCCACAGGCAGGTGCCAGCAAGGGCCCTGGACAAGGCGCCCGCCGCCTACCGGTGCTCAGACGCCAGCTCCCCCCCCCCCGCCCTTCCCCCCCGCCAGCACCCCCGGGCTCGGCCGCCTCGGCCCCGCCCACCTTCGGACCTCGCCAAGAAGACATCGCCCCCCCCACACTTCGCTCCAGTCCCCCAGCCCCACATTTGCTCCGCGGACCCCGTGTCCCCCCCAGTGAGCGTCGGTGCACGTGTCAAGGGGCGGGGGACCAGGGAACCCAGTCGAAGTTGGGAGGGGAACTTGGTGTATCCTCATCTTGCCCCCCAACCCGCCCCAGGCCCGCGAGGGTCCGGGTCGCTGCGATGGCGCAGCTGGGCCCACACGTGAGGCCAGGCCCCACGGCGCAGGCGGCTGAGACCAGAGTGTGGCCTCGAACCCAGGGCACACGGGGGCTCCCCCAGCGGGAGCTAAGCTGCCCGAGGATGGGCGCGGGGGCCGCAGCGGCGGAGGCCCAGGCCGCGTCCCC